CTTCCATATTCCCTATCATGTTTATAAAGCATGTTTATCTACCTTCTCCTAATCTTTTGGTTGTTATTACTGCTGTTGTGTACCTTATGACATTTACTGTAGCTGTTCTTCATTCTTTTGTAACTCATGGTGAGTTCATTTACCTTGATCACATTGTGCTGTCTTCTTTGCTGGTATTATGTATTGCTTTTCTCTTCAGCAGAATTGACACATATTTACTTTCTAAAAAGTTATACTCCTTTTATCTTTCTCCTAACATTATCAACCATCAAATTCTGCATTCTGCTTATAAATACATTTTTAACATTTTATAAAATGTGTTTCATTCAATACTAGTTATTTTGTGATAGACTCATTTCACTTAGCATGATGTTCTCCAAATTCATCCTCGTCATAACGAGTTTTACGGACTTAATACTATTCTTTATGATTGTGCAATATTTCATTGTATGTAAGTACCACATCTTGGCTTTTCTATTCATCTATTGATGTACATTTAGAATGTTTCCATCTTTATGTTATTGTGAACAATGCATTAATCACATAGTTGTGCATATATCTAGTTGTGTTACTGCTCTATTTCTCTAGAATGTATAGTTGTTGTTGTTTTACAGTAGCATCAGAACCCTAGCTGACCCTCCAGTGGATTTTTCAGCAAATCTCATGGGAGGAAACTTCCCAGCTTTTTCCTGTGGAGCAACTGGTGGATTTGAACCACAAGTCTTTGAGATTGCAGCAAAAATTCTTATCACTAGGTCAACAGAGTTAACAGTAGGATTATCAGATTGTAACGAATTTCTATTTCTCGTTTTTTAAAGAAATGTTTATCATTTTCCACAGTGGTGTACAATTTTACAATTCTCACCTACAGTGTATAAAAGTTCCAATCTCCCTAGTAACCTCACCATTAGTATTTGTCATTTTTGCTGGAGGAGACAGTATCTCATTATAGTTTTGATTTCTTATTGTAGTTTTGATTTGCATCTCTCTGCAAGGTCACTTTAGTTGGAATTGGGTTAACGGCAGTGAGTTTGGTGAGGTTTTGTCTTTATTTTTGTTTTTAAATGGCTAACGATCCTGAGCATTAATTTAGCTCCCCCCCCCAACGATATAGTGATATTCTTCAAAATGAATGAGTGGTATACACATATCAAAAACATAACATGCTGTAACCTGTGCTTCAAGAGAAACTCCTTAGTAAATACAGTGGGGAAATGGAAGCAAATAAGCATTCTCATGCAAATCCATTTTCACATGGAAAGCTAAAGCTGAGAACAAACAATCTTGTCTTCAAATTATAGTAAAATCAAATGCAAAGAAAATGACAACTTTTGAAGTCAACACAAAGGACTTTAGTGACGTATCTAGACTAAAGCAGAATTTCCAGTGAACTGAATCAAATAGAAGGTTTAGTTTCCTTCTTACCTTTCACTCACAGCTTGCCAGTTATTAACTAAAAAGTCCTTTGCAATGTACCGACCGACTTCAGATGATGCTGCCACAACTTCAATTATATTTGTTTCATTAAAATTGAATGGTGATGCAGTAATGGCATATTCCATATATCTGGAAAAGTGCATTTTTTAAAAAAAGACAAATAAACAAGAATCTAATATAAAATGTGACTTTAAAGAAATGGATTTAAAATACCATATGGCTCTAAACTAGTAATGCACAAATAGGCATTGTTTAAATGAAATATTGTTACATTTCTACTTTTCTCCCTTTGGATTTATGACTGAATTCCTGCCCCAGAAACTTCCAAGGTAAAATTATCATAATCACCTCCGAAGTATCCACGGCTCTTTACTGCAGCCCAGAGCATAAGCAAGTTGAAACCTTTCATCTTCATTTGTTATATTAGTGTAGATCTTGAACAAAAACTCCCATTCTTTATCATTTCCCAAGGCAATGCCATAGCATAAGATCTCATTTTTAATTGGGTAAGGTATTCTGAAAGACATAACATGTAATAAAATCTCTCACGGTAGTTCAATTACAGGATTGTTTGTATTGACTTATATTTAAAAATATAAATTTAGAAAAAATTATGATATCTGATATAAGAATGAAAAGTAGGGATCTAGGGTGGCAATTATAGAAACTAACATTAGCTCTAATATCACAGTGATAAAATAGTAAATTAGAAAGTGAGGAGTTTAAAGGAGAAGTCAATTGGAGTGATATAAAGAGTGTGTGTGTGTGTGTGTGTGTGTGTGTGTGTGTGTGTGTGTGTTCATGTGTGTTGATAGTTCAGTTCAATCTTCTATGTCATTATTTGCATTTCCTGAGAGTTTGTTAGAGATAAAATATTAGAGACAATAAACCAAAATGACAGTTTTAATCTCAGTACTCAGGGAGACAGCAAATTCAGAGGGGAAAAGACCCATTCTAATGAATTTAAATATATAACAATGATAAAAATTATGACGAACAACCTACATAAGACTGAAAATAAGCATTCATTAGAGAATATCTTGGCAATGACAAGTCTTGGATAACAATTCTCTGGATAAATTCTAATCTTCAGTTGTTATGTATGGGAACCTCAGCAACATGTATCAGGCACTTAATGGAAAATGTCAGCTATTTGAATCGAACATGGGAGAAAGGTGGGCAGTCTCCTTCTATATAGATGGACAGCTTCAGAAGCCCAAAGGAAGATAGTCCTGAGTCAGAATTAACTTACTGACAATGAATGAAATTGTTAAACCTATCTCTGTACTATTGTTGCTGCTGTGTACCATCAAGTCGGAACCGACCCATAGCTGACCCTCCAGTGAGTTTTCAGAAGTGGTTCATCGCGCAGAAGAAGATTGCCCATTTTTCTCCTGCCATACTAGATTTTTTCTTAAAGAAAATATTTGAAGAGCTGAAACAGCACAGAAACAACAGAAATTACACTTACTCATTCTCTGGATTATGCATCCATTTTCTGAAGAGTTCTCTTGACAACTGCAAACAGTCTTCAAGGCCCAACCAACATGCAGTTCCAAAGAGTGTTTCCAGTGATAATCTTGAAAGAAAAGAGTTCATTTTGCATTACTAAATTTATTGTCTGCCTCTAAGAGTGCATTTAAAAAGAGAATGGTGTTTTAAAAACATCCTTTCAATAACATCAGTTTTTTACAAAGGAGCTTTGTGGATGACAAACATATTTAAGATTCATCAGATTACTTGCTGAGCGGCTCTGGGCCACCAAAAAGCTTTTAAGTCTGGTGTTTTTTTTGAAAGTTAGTAATAAATTACTGCTATCCTTCATCCCCCTCAAACACACGTGGGTGTACACACACTCCACATCTGTGGTCAATTTACTTTTCCTCCCTTTTACAATAATTGCCTCATGGATTTAAAAAATCCCTTTAGAGAATAGGATATAAAGTGCTTAAAAATTGAGTCCTTTCTCTCTAAAAGTAAAGGAGAATGAAGAGCCGCTGAAGGGAGAACCTTCAGTAATGTACATTCCACTTTAGGGAAGTAGAAAGAGGTGTTTTAATTGTTTTGTTTTGCTTTTCTTGCCTCGGAAGGACATGTAACATGGAGAAATGATGGTAGTTACGGAAAGGCATTAGGTCTTTTGTTCATAGAGTCACTATGAGCCACGCTTGACTCGACGGCAATCACCAACAACAAGGGCATGTGGAGCTCTTAAGGCATTGTGGTTAAGACACTGGGCAACCAGGGGGTCAGGAGACTGAAGCCACCAATAGCTCTATGGGAGAAAGATGAGGCAGTTTGCGTCCATAAAGATTCATACTCTTGGAAACTGAATGGGAGGTTTCTTCCCTACCCTACAGAATTGCTAGGGGTCGGAATTAACTGGTTGGTATTTAGTTAAAGGAATGTGTTGTGATTCAAAGCAAAAGAAATTCAGAAGAACATAATGAACGGCAATGTTTGTGTTGTCCTTAGGTGCCGTCGGGTCAATTATGACCCATAGTGACCCCGTGAACAACAGAACCCTCTCTACCCTGTGCCATCCTTACAGCTTCTGACACATTGTGTCAGAAATGTGTTGTGTCACAATGTGTGGCATTGTGTCACACCTGCACACTGCAGGAGTCATTGTGTCAATGCATCTTGTTAAGGGTCTTCTTCTTTTTCTCCATCTCTCCACTTTCCCAAACACAATATCCCTCTTCAAGGAATAGCCTCTCCTAGCAACATTCTCAAAGTATGTAAGATGAAAGTTCATCATCTTTGCCTCCAAGAAGAGCAATATGAAAAGCTTTTCATTATTCCAATGAAGAATAATACATTAAAAAACAAACAAACCAAAAAACTAACAAAACCAACCCAAACTGATGATCGCAGTGTGTCTTCCTATCATCTTCAAACTGGGAGTGAAGGATAAGAAAAACCCAAACACACCCCACAACACCAAAACATCCAGCCTGGTCTTATGAAAATGCAAGAGAAACATGTCCACTATTTCACTGTTTAGCTTCAACCTGACCTGGCCTGACCTTGAGCAGAAGTGGAATGTCCAAGGGTGGAGACACTTCTGGAAATTCATTTACAAATCTCATCTCTTCACCCATCCCAACCCCCAAGCTGGCTGAAGTGAGACAGAGTTCTGTGGAAGTGCTAATTTCTCAAATCCAGAAAAGCACTAGTCCCAGACTGCTACATGTACAAAGTAAGCCACTTCAGTGAGACTAATGAGAATGAAAGCTATGGGTGACGAAAATACAGGCTACTTGACTGAGCACATTTTCACCCTTCCCTGTATTCACACAACTTGCCTACCCACTCTCTACTCCATCTTGTCCTCAAGTCTTCCACCTACTTATGCATTTAATGCCAAATCTTCCCAGACACTAACCCTTTATACCCTATGTAACATCACTTTTTCCTCCCTTGAAGGTTTATTCTTGAAAGAGAATAGTCAGTCACATTTTGTATATCTTGTATTTCTTATTTAATTGATTTGAATTTGGTGCTGACCAGAAAGGGTATCTAGATAAAAGTTCTGTGCTGTTGTGTGTATTGACTACAAATCCCTGCTGTACCTAGAAACTCAGCTTACAACATGTGCCTTGTGTTACAGAGAGGCCAGCAGTGTCACCAGGTCCACTTGGACTTTCACTTGATTCCCACATCATTAAAAAAAAATATGTTTATGCTCTTCACCAAACCAGTGATCTGAAAGCAACCTGCAAAACTTGACTCATGCTTAAAGAAAAGTGACTGCTTCATTATTTCTCTTCTCCATCAGATCTGCATAATATAAATATTTTGTAACCAATAATATGTCAAGGACACTTTTGTCCCCTGTAGCTTTCCCAGGCCCTTCAGTCCATTATTACAGGTTGGATTTGCATATCACAAAGCTTCACCAATAGTAGGAATCTCTTGGAATTTCATGTGTTAGACTAAGATTTGAGAAACAAAACTACAGCCTGCTTTGCATATGATTATATATCTTTGCATGTAAATTAAAATCCCCAATTATTATTCTCTATTAGGACATATGTACCCCACCAATCCCAGAACTACTGTTGTCAAACATCATATGTTGCTCTTTGCCACATTTACTACGGGAATGAAGACCATTCTGAGCAACCAGACTCTGAAAGGCCACACAAGTTGTGAAAGGCTCGTGCTCATGGGGAACCTTATGGAGGGACTTCAATCATGTCTCCTTGGAAAGAAAAAGAAGAGGCTTTGCGTTGACAAACTGGGGAACAGAAAGGAACTGGCTACTGTTTTCACCATCTGTAGCCATGTACAGAACATTATCAAGGGTGTTATATGGGCTTTTGTTGCAGGATGAGGTCTTAGTATGTTCATTTCCTCATCTATGTTGTGATTCAGGAGAGCAGATCTCGGATTGAAATTAGAAACGTCTTGGGTGAAAAATATATTCAGAGGGTTCAAATGAGATTGGGTTTTGTTTGTCCAGTATCACAAGCCCAGAAAGATGAGTTAATACTTGAAGGAAATGACATTCAGCTTGTATCAAATTCATCTGCTTTGATTTAGCAAGCTAAAACAATTAAAAACAGGATATCCGAAAATATTTGGATGGTATCTATGTCTCCGAAAAAGGAGCTGTTTGCAGGCTGATGAGTGATAGCTAGGAGTTTTCCAGCCACAAAAATGAGGCTGGATGACTCCTAAGATGCATCTGAATCTTGGGAGGAAATTCTATTCATTTGAAAAAAAAATATGTTGCTGTTGTTGTTATTAGGAGCCAGCAACAACTCTATGAACAGCACCCTAAACCCTCTCCTATCCTGCCTCGTCCTTATCAACTCAGACACATTTGAGCCCATTGCCACAATCACTGTATCAATCTATCTTATTTAGGGTGTTCTTCTATTATATTGATCCTCTATCTTTTTAACTATTATCTTTCTTTCCAAGGATTCGCCTCTCCTGACAACATGCCCTATGAGACAAAGCTTCACTATCCTTGCTTCCAAGGAGCATTCTGGTTATACTATCTGCAAGATATGTATATTTGTTCCTTTGGCAGTTCATGAGCCATTCACAACTCTCCTCCAATACCACAATTCAAATGCATCAATTCTTCTGTCATCCTTATTCAGAGTCCAGCTCTCATATGCATAGCAAATGGTGGAAAAGACCATGACTTGAATCAGGTGCACCTTCATCTTTAAATTGACATCATTTTGCTCTTCAGTATTTTGGAGAGGTCCTTCCTTGACCAGCCTACTTTCCCGATGTAGTATGCCTTCTGAAATCATGACTTCTGGTAACAAGGCTGTTGGTTGTAGGTCTAAGTAAGATAAGATCATTGCCAACTTCAATCTTTTCTCCATCTACCCTAATGATCTCCTACTCTGTGCATGTTGCTAGGAGAGGCTATTCCTTGGAAAGGAATTTCATGCAAGGAAAGGTGGAGGGTCAGCAAAAGACAGGAAGAATCTCAATGATACAGATTGATACAGTGACTGAGATGATGATGATGGCACAAGATAGAACTGGTTCAGATCTGTTGTTCATAGGGTCACTATGAGTTGTACTCATCTAACAAAACCAACAATCATGATGTTGCCTATCAGTCCAGGGTAATAATTTTTGTCTTCTTGATGTTAAGATGCAGTTTATTTTGATGGCTGTAGTTTCTGATTTTCTGCAGCAAGCGCTTCAAGTCCTCCTCCCTTTCAGCCTACAAGGTGGTTGTCAGATGCATAAAACAGGCAGATAATTAATTAGTCTTCCTTCAGTTTTGATGTTATTCATGATGCCCGCTTCTCAAATGCTTTGTTCACCATACCGACTGAATAGGTATGGAGAAAGGAATACATCCCTGAGGTACACTTTTCTTGGTTTTAAATCATGCAGTGCTCTCTTGCTCTGTTTGCACAGTAACTTCTAGGTCTAGATATAGATTTTTTATAAATGTAATTAAGTATTCTGGAATTTCCATTCTTCTCAGTATCCGTCATAATTTGTTATAATCCACAGAGTCAAATACCTTTGCATAATCAATAAAGCACAAATAAACATTCTGCTGGTATTCTTTGCTTTCAGCCAAGATCCATCCAGCCAAGACACCAGCAATGATATCAGTGGTGCCATGGCCTTTCCTAAATCCAGTCTGAACTTTTGACAGTTGTTTGTCTATGTACTATTATAGCCATTTCTAAATTATTTTCAGGAGCATTTTGCTTGCATACGGATATTAAGTATATTGTTTGATAATTTCTATATTCTGTTGGATCACTTTTCTTGGGAATGGGTCAAATATGGATCTCTTCCAGTCATTTGACCAGACAACTGTCCTCCAAATTTCTGGGCATAGACTGGTGAGCTGCACCTGCCATTTGAAACATTTCATTTGGTATCTTGGGCCTTATATTTTGCTAATGCCTTCATTACAGCTTGAACTTCTTCCTTCATTATCATGTTGTTATTGTTAGGTACCATCAAGTCAAATATGACTAATAGTGGCCATATGAACAACTGATCTGAACTCTGTCCTATCTTGTTCCACCCTTACAATCTCTGACACACTCAAACCCATTGCAACAGTCACTATGTCAATTCACCTTGTTGAGAGTTTTCCTCTCTTACACTGGCCCTCCACCTTTCCAAGAACGTTGTCTTTCTCCAAGGAATAACCTCTCTTATCAACATGCCCAAAGTGTGTGAGACAAAACTCCATCATTTTTGCTTCCAAAGGAGCACTCTGGTTGCATCTTCTCCAAGACATATCTGTTCTTTTGGCAGTCCATGGGATCTTCAGTACTCTTCTTCAACATTACAGTTCAAAGGCATAAATTCTTCTTCTTTCATCTTTAATCACTGTTCAGTTGGTAGATGCATAGCAGGTGACTGAAAAGACCGTGGCCTGAATAAGAAGCATCTTAGTCCTCAAACTTACATAATCACTCTTCAATAATTTGGAAAGCTTCTTGACTACAGACTTTCCCAGTAAAATATGTTTTCTGATCTTCTGACTGCTGGTACCAAGTTTACTGATTGTGGATCTAAGTAAGATGAAGTCACTGACAGTCTCAACCCTTTCTCTGTCCATTCTGGTGTTGCTTATTGGTCCAGTGGTGAGGGGTTTTGTTTTCTTGAAGTTGAGATATAATTCATATCAAAGACTGCAGTGTTTAACCTTCTGCAGTATGTGCTTCAAGTTTATCTCCAATTCTGAAGTGATATTTTCTCCAGAGACAGGCTTCTCAAATGATTAGATTTGGAAAATCCCTTTCTTTGTTTGCACAACAGCCACTTGGTCTAGTTATAGGTTTTGCATGAGCACAATCATGTGTTCTGGAATTCTCTTAATGTTAACCATAATTAGTTATAATCTATACAGTCAAATGCCTTTGAATAATCAATAAAGCACAAACGGACATTCTTCTAATATTTTTGCTTTCAGCCAGGATCTGTCTGATATCAGCAATTATATCTCTGGTGCCACAACTTCTTATAAACCGAGGCTCAATGTCTGGCATTTCTCTGCTTATGTATTATTCTAACCAGTTTTGAATGATCCTCAGCAGGATTTTCCTTGTGTGTGACATTAATGATATTGTTCGAGAATTTCCACATTCTGTTGAATCACTTTTCTTAGGAATGGCAACAAACATAGATTTCTTCTTGTCAGTTGGCAAGGCAGCTGTCCTTCAAATCTCCTGGCATATAATGGTGCATCCAGGGCTGCATCTGTCAACTGAAGCATTTCAATTGGTATCACATCTATTCTTGGGCCTTACTTTTTGCCAACACCTTCAGTACAGCTTGAATTTTTTCTGTAGTTATCATTGACTCTTGAGCATACTGGACTTGCTGAAATATTTCAGTGTTAGCCAATTCTTTTTGGTATAATGACTCTGTGCAATTCCTCCATCTTTGTTTGATATTTCTTGGGCCATTCAAGATTTTGCCCACAACATCCCTAAATAATTGGGTTTCTAGTTCCTTAGCTTAAGAAATCCTGAGAAAGTTCTTCCCTTTTTATTCTCCATTCAAGGTCTCTGCACATTACAATATTGTTGTTGTTAGATGCCATTGAGTTAAGAACAACCCATAGACACCCTATGAACAACAGATCTGAACTCTATCCTATCCTGTGCCATCTTCACACTTCCATTGCAGCAGTCATTGTGTCAATATACCTGGTTGAGGGTTTTCTTCTCTTTTCAAGCATGATGTCCCACTCCAAGAAACAGCCTCTCCTAGCAATATGCCAGAAGTTTGTGAGATGAAGCCTTATCATCTTGGCCTCCAAGGAACACTTTGACTGCGCTTTCTCCAAGACATATTTTAGGGTTCTTTTGGCAGTTAATGGGATTATTCAGTACTCTTCTCTACCCCCACAGCTCAAAGGCATCAGTGAAATTACCATAGAAGCTATTAAATATCAGATAGAATCTATCAGTGAACTATTTGCTGCCACTGAGACAATCCTGACCCATAAAGACATTTAGAAGAGGCTGTGGTACCAGAAATATAATTACTGATGTCAAATTGATCCTAGCTGAAAGCAAAGAATACCAAAAGAATGTCTATTTATACTTTATTGACTATAACTCATAAGATCCTGCAGGACAGAGTACAACTACTCATAAGGTTTACAAGACTATAACCTTTAAGGAATTCAACTGTCTCTTCATTCTCCCTTAAATTAGCTGGTCATTTGAACAGCTGAACTTTACTGTTACCAGCTGCGTGCTTTGGCCATCAGGACTCCTTCAGGAAATCACGGTTACTTATATTTTATTTTGGGAATCTGGAAATTTATTTCTTAACATGAATGAATTTGTTTTATTCAGTTGTGACTACTTTAAAAATACTTACATAGCTAAATAATCATCTTCTAGTGCTGCTATATTTTCACGAATGATGGTTGCGTAAGTATTCCATATTGAGTTAAGTCTCTTTAACAGATATTTCTATAAACATTAAAGAAAGTAAACTGTTACTTCTGGCTCACAACACTAAGCGTGCTGTATTTCTCTGTATCTGGAAAGACATTAATAGAGAAGTAGCAGTTATTTCTGCAAAAATGATTTTTATTTGTTATTGAATATGTAACTGGTTTATTTCTCCCCCACTCAATAATTCTCTTAAAAGTGAAATGAAGTTTATAATAATACTCACACTATAGTTCTATTAGAGATCTCTGGTAGCTTAGTGATAAGGAACTGGACTATCAATTCAAAGGGAAGCAGTTCGAATCCACCATCTCCTCCTGGAGAGAAAAATAGGCAATCTCCTCCCGTGCAATTTACTGCCTTTGAAAACTTACTGGAGTACTCAATGGTACAGAGCAACAACATTGCTATATAAGGATTAAGGAAAATAAATATGCAAACAACTTAGCACACTGACACATAAGAAGAACTTAATAATTATTAACTATTACAGGATGTTGCTGTTCGGTCCTATTGAGTTGGAACTGACTCATAGCTGACCTTCCAGAAGATTTACAGAGACAGTAAGTCTCATGGGAGAAGATTGTCCATCTTCGTTCCATAGAGCGGCTGGCAGATTCAATCCGTGTGACTTTTGGCTTGGCTTTGCAGCTCTTTACCACTAGGCCACCAGAGCTGCTGACTTAAGATGGATTCAAATTATGGCAAACAGCATTGACAGTGGTCTGATTTGTCCATACACCTACCATTGTAATATGTACATATAGACTACATCCAATGTTGCAGCATTTAAGTTGCTGCTGTCATTATTCTCATTCCAACCCTTAAAGACAAATAAAGGTAGGATTTCTAAACATGCTGATTACACAATAACAACTGATAATAAAAGGCAACAATACTGGGGCAGGAGGTGAGAGAAAAAGAATCCATTTACTTCAGTATAACTAATGAAATCATAAGAAATTTACTCCTTTGAAAGTCAAGAGTTACTTGTATCATCACTTAATATCACTCTAAACATTTCAAATGTTTTCAAAATAGAAGAAAATAATAAAAATGTTAGACTTTTTCACATAGAAACCCCATAGTAAGTATATTTACCTTCAAGAAAAGAACTGATTTATGCCTTGGGCAAAATTCAAATACTCACCACCAAGGCTACTGAGTAAAATTCTGAATCTGAAATAAAGTTTCTTTAATTTGGCTATAAGTTGGTAAGTAATAAGATTTTAGAAACTGTACCTTTACTAATACAGCTCATGGAACAAACTAGATGTTATTCATCTAAATTCTCTGAAAACAAACATTAATGGTTTTTTACTTCTTTAATCAGAACTACCAAGTCATTAAATATTCTCAGTGAACAACTCAATCTTGCAGAGATTTAAGCATCACCTTTTATTCATAATCAGCCCATAATCAACTAGATCTCCATTAGGACATTGCAGAAGAAAATTCTGGAACCTCTCGGCATTTTTCATCTCCCTCTCAGACTGGTTCACAGACTCACCTGGAATCACCACCACACACACTTGAGGTTTACTGTTGCCTCTAACAGTAAGGTTTGCTCCCTAGCTTTTCTTGGATTTTTCCTTTGCCATCTTCCTTATGGTCACTACTTATGACCTACTCCTATGATACTCTCTTCCTTTTATATTTTTTTCCCCCAACTATACTGGTATGATATGCCTTCATTCATGAATTCTCATTTCTTCCTTTAGAACAACATCAAAACCTGCTTCAAAACTTTTCTTTTTTTCAATAATATACTTCTTCGATTTTAAGTATTAATCAGAATATTTTAATTATGAACATAGGGTGATTAGACATCATTCTTTTTATCTTGTGGAAATAACTGCTAGCAGACACTATTCTTTTCTGTAAACAAAATCATCCACTTATGGATTTTAAGAACACAGTTACTTTGCTTATAAAACAATATCCTTCCAAATTTCTTACGTACTCATCTTCTAGAACAGATTTATGCTGAAGATAAACTTTGTCTCTCATTCTTTGAAGTGTAATACTATATAATGTGAACATAGAAAATGGATATGTATTAATAGACATTGACTTCAATAAAGACATGCCTTACAGGTGTTGACGGAGTATCAAAAGAGGAAGAAAGGATTTTTCTGAAACCACATAACAGAATAAGTTACCTTCAATAATGGGTATAAACGATAGTTGTTCACATCAGAAACAAGATCCCTGGTTATCAGGTTTGCCAAGACTGCATGCCATACTATGATTTCATCTTCTTCAGCAAGGTACTTGGTTAAATCAAGTGCTGTTTCAATCTCAATGTAATTGTTTCTGTTTGGTTCGAAAACATACACATACTCAAAAAGCCTCCACTGGTTAAATGATTTATACACTTCCCATATTTGTTCCATGCTTTAGTGTCTGACTTCATTCAAATTATGTAAATAAATAGGAAGATAGAGTGAGCTCTGTTGACGTAGTCCTTACAGAGTTACACTGCTAATCTAAAGGTCACGCCTCTCCGGTAGTTCAAATCCACCAGTGGCTCCACAGAAGAAGGATAGGTAATCTCCTTCCATGCTATTTTCCTTTGTAAGCCTGCTGGAGAGTCAGCTATGAGTTGGTTTTAACATGAAAGCAATGAGAGAAAGTGAAATAGAGGATATAGATCCCATCTCATTGAAACGACGGAATCCAGGCAATATTGGCACTCATTTTATTTAAGTCCGTCACATTCAAGTATCCAAGTAGGCTACAGAAAAAGCCAGGAGAAATGTTAGATTATTGAGAAATAGAATATTTGTGTATTTATAATACATTCTTATTAGAATACAATTTTCATTAAACGAGGTTAAATAAACATTCTAATACATTTATCAATGCTCTGTTATCTACTTGTAAGAATACAAGAATGACAATAGTCTTACCTACCACTGAGGCTCTTAGTATTTCAACTAGAAGTTGAGATTTATGCATAAGATGCTGCTAATAAAGTTCGTACAAAAAGCAATGAATACTATCAGATGGCAGGATGGGAAATACATAAATGTGATAGAGAAGTCAAGGAAGACTCCGTGGAGAATGAACCTAAGATTGATAGAGAGTGCTGTGTAAGATTTAAATAGAAAGAGAAGATGAAAAGACAGGCAGAACAAAATAAAGTGGGAATGAACATGGAAGGCAAATCATACTAATATAGGTAAAGGCATTATTTTGCATCTAAATGAGAGGTGAAGACTGTACTTAAAGTGAAGCAAAACTGTGGAGAGCCTTAAAAAAGTTTACTAGAGGATACTCTAGGTTTATATACAGTCCAAAGGCAGTAAAGAGACCTGGGAGTGCAGTGTGCTACTTGTTAAATTGCTAACTGAAACACTGGAACTTCGAAGTCAACAGACAGTAGTTACTCCACAAGAGAAAGTTGGACAGTCTCTGGTGAAGATGACAGCCTCAGAAACCCCATGGAGAATTGCCAGAGTTGGAATCAACTCAGTGGTAAAGGATTATTTGGTAATACTTTGGGCATATCACTAGGAGAAGACATCATGCTTGGAAAGAAAGGTTATTAAAAAAGAGAAAAGCTCCCAAAATAATAGCCTGATGCAATGGCTGCAACAAAGGCCTCAGATGGAGTAATGATTGTGAAGATAATGAAGGAACTGGGATGTTTGGTATATATATATATATATATATATATATATGGCTTTCCATGAATTCGAACTAATTTGACAGCATCTAATAGCAGAAAATGACTGGAATATTGATAGAGAACTTCCAGAAGTTTAGGCTGGGTTTAGAAGGTTGTGGCATCAGGGCTATCACTGCTGATGTCAGGTGGATCCTGGCTGAAAGCGGAGAATACAAGATAAATGATTGTGCTTTATGGAAAGGCAAAGTCATCTGACTGTGTGGAATACAAAAAACTACAGAAAACATTGAGAGGAATGGGTATCTCAAAATACTTAATTGTGCTTATACGCTATCTATACCTGGACCAAGAAGCTGTTGTCTAAACAGAACAAGGAAACACTACATGGTTTGAAATCATGAAGAGTTTTGTTTAAGTGTCAGGGATTCATTCTTCCCCATACTTACTCAGTCTGTTTACTGAGCAAACAGTTCATGAAGCTAGACTCTATGAAGAAGAATATGGCATCAGGATCTGAGGAAAATTCAACAACCTACATCATGTGTAGATCATAACAAACTGTGGCTGACTCTGAGAAGAATGGGAATCCCAGAACACTTGATCGTTCTAATGCGAAACTTATACTTGGACCAGGAGGCAGTCGTCAGAACAGAGCAAGGAAACACTGCATGGTTCAAAATTGGGAAGGGCGTACGCCAGGGATGCATCCTATCTCCATACCTTTTCAACCTATATGCAGAACAGATTATCCGGGAGGCTGGGCTCTATGAGGAGAAATGTGGGGTCAAGATTGGTGGACGATTTATCAACAATCTGCGTTATGCGGATGACACAACCCTGCTTGCTGAAACTGAAGAGGACCTGAAGCGCCTGCTGCAGAGCGTCAAGGACTGCAGCCTACAATATGGATTGAGGCTCAATATCAAGAAGACAAAGATTCTCACCACTGGACCAATTGGCAGCATCAGGATGGATGGTGAAGAGATTGAGATTGTACACAGCTTTAGTTTGCTTGGCTCCATAGTCAACAGTCTTGGCACCAGCAGCCAGGAAATTAAAAGGCGCATTGCCATGGGAAAGTCTGCTGTTAGGGACCTCTCCAAAGTACTTAAGAGCAATGGTGTCTCTCTGGAGACTAAGGTGCGTCTGATACAAGCCATGGTCTTCGCAATCACTTGTTATGCATCAGAAAGTTGGAAAATGACCAGGGAGGATAGAAGGAGAATTGATGCCTTTGAGCTGTGGTGCTGGAGAAGAGTATTGAGAATACCATGGACTGCTAGGAAAACAAACAGATTTGTCCTGGAAAGGGTTAAACCAGGTGGCTCCTTGGAGGCAAGGATTCTGAGGCTCCATCTAACATACTTTGGACATGTTGTGAGGAGAGACCGGTCCTTAGAGAGGGACATCATGCTTGGGAGGGTGGAGCGACAGCGCAGGAGAGGAAGGCCCTCTATGAGGTGGATTGATTCAGTGACTGGGATAATTGGGATGGGAGTGTCGGAGACAGTGCGATTGGCATAGGACAGAGCGGAGTTTAGGGCTGTTGTACAGAGGGTCGCTATGAGTCACAGGCGACTCAACGGCACATAACAACAACAACAACAAAAACGCCTGCTTTTTTCTGGTTGCCATTTGCTTGGTATATTTTTTCCAATCCTTAGTCTTTCTTTATCTTCATTTTCCAGGTATGTCTCTTGTAGAAAGCATATTGATAGATTTTGGTTTTTTAATCCAATCTGTTACTCTTCTCTTCAGTGGTGAATTCAAACAATTCACATTCAGTGTGATTATTGAAAGGTAGGGTTTTATTGATACCATTTTGTTGAATTCTTTTTGGTGTTGTTGCTAGTTACTTTAGCCTATGCTGCTTTCTGTGGTACCTCTGTAATAAGGACATCTCTCAATGTTTCCTGCAATGTTGGTCTTGTTTTTACAAACTCTCTTAGGTTCTGCTTTTCAGGGATTATCTTGATCTCTCCTTCATATTTGATGGATAACTTTGCTGGGTACAGTATTCTTGGTTGACGTTGTGTTCTTTGAGAGTTTGATATATGGCTTTCCACTCTCTTCTTGCTCACATAATTTCTTCTGAGAAATCGGCACTTAATCTTATCTGCTCTCCCTTATAGGTTACTCTTTGTTTCTCTCTCACTGCACTTTTTATGTAATTTTAAGTTCCTAAGTTTAAAAATAATATGTGTATCTCAATTATTACATTCTGTGCTACCAGGGAGGCTATTATCACTTCTAGACATTATTAGTTCATTTTATTTATAGCTTTTCTTATTATTTCTTTTATTTTTATTGTTTTAGTATGTCCTCATTCTTTATGATTTTTTCTCTTTTTCATTTTTATTAAAAAGTTACTGAGTCTTTTTTTTACTCCACATGAATAGTGCAGTGTGCACACTCCAGGCATCAGATAAAATGAGGTGGGCCTGTCCTCAGGTGGAGCTTGGCTGCATGGGGTCGGAGGAACACTGCCATTTACCTTGTTAGAGTAGGGGGCCAAGGCACTCCCCTGATCCTTGGGAGGTTATGGGGAAAAAGCAGAGACAGCTTCTGGTCCGAAATTCCCAAGCCAGCCAACCCACTAATCAAAATGGCTGTCAAGCTGTTTACAGTGTCCTTTGTCAGCCATCTTAGTCAATATTCTCATTCCATTTCTGCCTTCAGTTTGTATTTGAAGTACTTCTTTATGTTTTTCTTTTTACTCTGAGTTACAGTATTACCCACTATAACTGCTATCTTTGTGTTCTGGTATTTTAGTTGAAGAGGATTATGGGCTCCTGTCTGCCTAGTCCATCATCTTGTCTTCGATTTTGAATTATTCTATTCTTATTTATAATAGCCATACAATGGATTCAAATAAACTAAAGCTCATTAAATTATTGCAAGAAGGGGATCTGTTGTGTTTCCTTACATATAGAACAGCGACAAATGTCAGAAGCCTTCTGTCTGGGATATTCTCCCTAGCCCTGACCATGGCTAATTATTCCCAATTATTCTTTAAGATATTGCTCCAACCATCTAGTCTAGGAATATTTTCATGAACTGATTTACACTTCTTTCTCCTCTGTTTGTGAATTATCCTGCATATATATTTAGAATAGTCCTTACCACATAATATTATCTTTGGTTGTGTAATCGTGTTCATCCCACTGGATTACAGCGAGCTCTGTGAGGACTGGAATCACATCTTAGTGATATATGTATTTAGGGCCCAGTATTGTTATTTTTTGTCCTGTTTTTCTTTGGGCTGTATTGTTCTCAGGCAGATTTTCTCTCCATGGTAGCATGTATAGCTTCAGTCTTACACAGTTTTTAGCTCTTTCGTTGCCTAGCATCAATTTTTAGTCCTAAAAGAGTCCTGCTTGGGTTAAATGCATCAATATGTGTGTGTGTGTGTGTGTGTGAGAGAGAGAGAGAGAGAGACTCAAGTGACAGGCACTGGGAAGGGAGAGGCAAAGTTCTCCAAAGAAAAGGAGGATTTAGTAACTAGAAAGTAAACTGAGAAGGAAAATGCAAATATATGTACTATACATGTGGAGGAAAACAATATAAATATGGTCTCTGGTGACAAGAAACTACACTGCAATTCTGAAGGCAAGCAGTTTGAGGCCACCAGCTGCTCCATGAGAAGGAAGAGTGATCTCGTCCCCTGCGATTAATTGTCTCTGAAAACTCACTGGAGGGTCAGCTATAGGTCGGTTCCAACTATATGGTACACAACGACATACCAAAAAGGGACACTCTGGTGGTCTGGTGGAAAGAAGCTGAACTGCACCTATGGGTCAGTTCTGATTCAACTGGAACATAATAACGACACACCCAATAAACTAAAAAAACCCATTGCATGGAATCAGTTTTGACTAGTGTTAATCTTCAATCGCTTTTCTGAGACTCTAAATCTAATGGGAAACTGCTTATCTTTCTCCAGAGTAGTGAATTATAGATTGGAATTGTCTGATATACCCAGTCTTTGAGTTAACAGTGCAACTTGCTACAGACTACATCACCAGAGCTGGCTACAAACTTGATTCTGTTGTTATTATGTGCTTGAAGTTGGAACCAACTCAAAACTGCCTCTCCAGCAGGTTTTCCAAGGCTGTAAATGACATAGGAGGAGATTGGTTTCCCATCTTTCTCCCAAGGACCTGGTCAATTGGAAAGCTTCTCATTGTGTTGGCAATGTATCTCCTTAGCCACTAGGTCACCAGAGCTCCCTACACACTCAAAGTTGTTGTTGTGTACCATCGAGTCAGAACCGACCCTTAGGTGACTCTCTAGTAAGTTTTGAAATTATTAAAATTAGTTTTACAGTACCAAATATTTTCAAATGTGTCCAGCAACTAACTCTTCTGCCTTCTTTTGAACATGGAGTAAGGTATTTTGGAAGTGTCAGATTTAGTAAATGTTAATCAGATACTTATGATATAGGTTTTTACTCATAAGCAATGAAACCCTGTGTCATACACAAATTTGCTCATGAGTTCATAGCAACTTTGTTCATAATAGCCTCAAACTGGCAACCATGTAAATGCCCATCAATAGGAAGAATGGGTAAGGAAAAATGTAATATATCAATACAATGGAATGCTGCAGAACAATGGAAAAAACCACTTTCATGTATTAACATGAATGAATCTCAAGATGAACATTTTGAATGAAAATGAACACAAAAGAGAACATACTGTATCATTCTATTTATATACAATTCTATTGAATGCAAATTAATCTGTAGTGACAAAATGCAGATTAATGATTCCTGGGGCAGATAGAGAGAGGGACTGCAAAGGAACATAAAGAATTTAGCAGGCAAGGAGAATGTACTTTATCTTAATTGTTCCTATGGTTGCTCAGGCATTTTACACATGGGAAAACACTCATTGAGTTATATGTACACTTTAAGTGAATACAATATTAACATATCTCAATTTTGTTGTTGTTGTTGTTAAGTGCCATCGAGTCACAGGCGACTCATAGCGACCCTATGAAGGAGAGTCCTCGACGCTTGGGTGCCTTTCATCCTCTCTCCAGGTTCATAGGGTTTCCAGAGT